CGGGGAGGAGGAGAAGGCTCCCGTGGAACCGACGGCTCGGGTGCCGGACGCCGGCGGAAGCGCGAGCGAGGTAACCCGGGAACGGGACGCGAGCGAGGGGCGGCGTCTACACCGCCCGGGGCTGGCGGCACTGGCCGGACCCCTGGAGGGTTGTGACGGATCTAAGCAGGGGGCACACCCGATCTCGCCTTCCACCCTTAGCCCCAGGGTAGCTGTAGGTTCGCGGACGACTCTGCTTCTCCGTTTTGTGAATCCGAATGAAGGCTCTTAGTGCTGTCGCTATGGCTTTTAGGTTTTTGAGAAAGAGGTGGGTGAAATCAGCCGTTTGGTTGTAGAGTACACCTTTCCTTGTGTTCGATGGCTGAAGGACGGGGAGGGGAGAAGGGATGGTGTTACTTTTCTTGCCCACTGCTTTTGTTCAGTACCTCCTGTATGAGATGTCTTTCTCTGGAACCCGTTCCGGACCTGGAGGTTACGAAGGAGGCCCTGGTCTCTGGGAGGATGCACGTTTCTCTTAAGAACCGCGCTCCCGATCTAAAGCCATGGCCTTCGCCTTGATTTTAACCTAGTTGCAGTTCGTTTTTGCTGCTTTCCTGGATCAAGGAGCCCTGGTCGATGTCCGCTTCGAGGCCAGCTGGCAGATGGTGCCTCTGTGCCCTAACGATCCCCCCTGCCTGACAGACCTCCCTCCTGGAAGTTGTGTAACTCCTTATTAGCATAAAGAAAACAGGTCCCTGACAATCACCTAATAACTAGCAAGTTCCCTTTGGTTTATGGGTGCAAACCCTTCTGCAACTTAACTTCTTTTTGAAACAAAGTTCACTAAGTCTGGTGTTCTCCATGGACCATTCAAGGCTAAGGACACTTAATACCGACTTTTGCAAAAAAGGCCTCCTGGAAGAAACTTTGGATAAGGTGGTACCTTATTATTCGGTAATTTCTACAAAGCCACCTTACTCAAAGTTCCTTCCAGGGGACCTTTTTAATTCTTTCTTGGATTAAGCTATAGTGTTAACAACTGGTGTTGATTCACAAGTGTTCCTTGGACGTTGCTTTTGTGGACTGTAGTCTTATGCAAAATGGGGATTGGGACTTAACTGGTTTGTTTGTTGCTCTTCATGATCGCCCTGTTTGTGTAGGCAGTTGCCAGACAAGCTTCTCCGCCCTCTCCTGGAGAGGTCATTGTGTGCTCAGTGATTCACTGTTATGCTGATCTGATCTCTTCTTCCTGGGGACCCCCGGATCTAATGGTGTGGGGGTTAGGGAGAGTCTTGTTGGGCTCCTGTTTGTTCAGAACAAACAGTGGAAGGTTCTTCCTCGCTCAGTCATCGATCCGGCCCCTATGGGGTCTCTCTCACCTGATCGTCTGCCTCCTAACGAGAGAGGTACGTGCTACATTGCTACTTTTCCTGGTTCTGTAACATACAGAGTTGAAACCCAATGCAGGATGCTGTACCAGATGGCACCCTGCCCCCTCACAGCTCAGTGCCAACCTGCTTGCTTGCAGAGCGCACTGGGGCCTGCAGGGAGGGGAGCCGTTTTGCTCATGAAGGACTTCTGTCCTAGCATTGCCTGGTTGATACCTATTTTAGACAGGCAGGCCCGCTTTGGAGGCAGCTCTGGGGGCCTGGGCCCAGCCGGACTACCTTTGAGGCCTTCAGTCCAGCTTTCCTAGGGGAGAGAGTGAAGTTCACACAGGGCCATTCTCCTGGTGGTGCCTTCTCCAGCTGGGCTGGCACGTGTGCATCTGCTGGACCATATTAGCTGCTGGGATGACCTGGTTATGTTCAGTCTGGCAGTGATCAGCTGTCTAGTGTACCTTCCAGTCTTCATAGCCAATTCACCTTTGTTGGTAATGCACACAGGCTGTAGGCCTTGTGAGGCACACAGGCCAGACATTCTTATATCCAGTTTGTACTTTAAGGAAAATAGAAGCCCGGCAATGTTAGGGGACTTAGTTAAAGCCACATATTAATTAGTGCCAGAAGTGGAGCTAGAACCTAAGTCTCCTGACTCCCACACTGTACTCAGGCTCTCTGGACAAGCATGCATCTGGGATGGGAGTGACTCAGCCCCCACTCAGCCTGTCTCCAGGGCCCAGGACCCCTGCTCTCTGATGCTGGGTTGACTTTTTAAAGCAGATTGTACCTTTCATAATGCAGAGGTGACAATTTGGAACCACAACTTTGGTAGAAAATGGGCTGAGAAAACAACACCCATCTTTTCAATCAGCCAGACCTGGGCTTGGGAGCATCACTTAGTGACGTACCCTCCCACAGGCTGCTTGAGTTACTCCAAGCTTCGGTGTCTCATGTTTGAAGTGGAAGAGTGATGTTTACCTCATGGGATGTTAGGCTGATGAAATGGGAAAAGCACGTGTGACATGCCAGCACAGTGCTTGGACCACAGTCATTTTCTTCTTTTGCCTTCTGTCTTTAACCCAGTCTCCTTAACCTGTCCCCATGCACTTTACTCCTTTTGGCTGGTCTGCACATCCGGCTTGGTTGGTTGGTTGGTTGTCATGGGGTAGGGTGTGTTGGAGCCAGACTGCCTCGTTTTGAGTCCCAACTCTGCCACTTACACCTCTGTGACCTTGGGAAAGTTTCATAACCTTTCTGTGCTTTATTCTCCTCACCTGCACAATGGGAATAATAAAGGTGCCTACGTCATAGAGTTCATGCGAGAATTAAAAAGTTCATTCTGAGTAAAAGGCTTAGAACTGTGCCTATCATGTCTTAAGAGCTTAATAAATTTTAGCTACTGCTAACTTCTGAGAGGGAGTGCTTTGCCCCATACAAATATCATAGGTTTTGTTTGATAGATAATTCCAGTGGCTTACGTTTGAGTTGTAAGAGTGTCTGCTTTTATAATATAACTTTCCATAATTTTTGTACGTGTGCAGAATTATTTAGGAGTAGAGGATTTTCCAGTGTTGAAAGAAGTACTGCTTTGGTTTCACTTCTTAGTGGGGCTGAGCATTATCTGAAAACAGGCTCTGGAATTCCCCAGGGCCGACATGCTTCCCTTCATAAGCACGGCCGTTTGCTTACAGCCGAATTCTGCTTTTATAATATAACTTTCCATAATTTTTGTACGTGTGCAGAATTATTTAGGAGTAGGGGATTTTCCAGTGTTGAAAGAAGTACTGCTTTGGTTTCACTTCTTAGTGGGGCTGAGAATTATCTGAAAACAGGCTCTGGAATTCCCCAGGGCCGACATGCTTCCCTTCATAAGCACGGCCGTTTGCTTACAGCCGAAGAAGCATGTGCTCTTCAGAGTAATGCGAGGGTTAAACAGAGAAATGAGCAGTTGTCCTAGGATTGAATGTGTGAAGATATTTGAAGATGGGCTGGCTGCCTACACCAGCATAAGTATTTGAGAGAGTTGTTGCTACTTTGGAACTGAGAGGGCATTGGTCGTTGTGATGTGGTTTCATGCCTGCTACAGAGACTCTCTGCTGGGTGTCAAAGAACAAAATTAAAACAAATTTAAAGATCTCAACGTGCTTTATTGCCATTCTGCAGTCAGGCAACACGTTATTACATAAAATCGAATAAGTGTTCAATGAGCTGAGCAGAAGCTGATTTTATAGACAGAAAAAGGCTGGAGAAAGCAGAAACAAAAAACAAAAAGAGGATTGGTCATTTCAAAGTTACTTTCCTTGTAAGGTAGGACAGGGAGACAGAACAACAGATAGATAACTGACTAGTTAATATCAGTTACTTCAGGCTGTCTCTTTTGTGTAAGAATTAAAGCAGAGGCAATTTCATTATCATACCTATAGAAGGTTAAAACTGGCTCGTTTGGGAAATTGGCTGTTACCACCTTCTCCTGACTTCTTGGAAGATCAGACCACAACCTAAGTGACATGGAACTTACCAGGGGTGACTCCATTCTGGTCTGTTTGGGCCTAGTGCAGGAACTTAGTTCAAAACAAAAGCTGCTGATAATTTTTATTTAACATGGGGGAGGCGTCCGGTAGGACCACTTGATTTACTGCCCATTGGGCTGGTTTCTTCAGGCCACAGAAAGAATCTGATACAGTCTGTATTTAAGAGTGAGGGGAAGAGAAAGAAGATCCTTGATTGTTAAAGTAAAAATTGTTTTTCGTTTCAAAATCAAAGATAGTCCCTAATGCCTGGACAGTTAGAGATGAAATTTCAGACACTTGCCCACTCTTAAATCACTGCTATGAAACAAATAGTCTTATAATTACATATATTGCAGTACAACAAAGTTTCACAGTAGGATTTTCATTTTGCTTACTAATGGACATTGTAAATGGTCTTTGTATGGGAATGGATGGCATAATTCACTGTATTAGTTTGCTGGCGCTACAGTAACAAAATACCACAGACTGGGTGGCTTAAACAGAAGTTTATTATCTCACTGTTCTGGAGGTGAGAAGTCCAAGATCAAGGTGTTGGCCGAGTTGGTTCCTTCTGAGGTCTGTGAAAGAGAATCTGTTCCAGGCCTCTTTCCTACCTGTTGGTGGTTTGCTCACCATCTTCAGCATTCCTTGGTTGCTGCTTCACATGGTGTCCTTCCTATGTGCATATTTGTCTCCAAATTTTCCTTTTTATAAGGACATCAGTCATATTTGATAAGGGTCCACCCTTCTATCTTAGCTTACTTAATTATATCTGCAATGACCCAATTTCCAAACAAGATCACATTCTAAGGTACTGGGGATTAGGACTTCAACATACAAATTTGGGGGGACAAAATTTGATTCATAACAACTGTTGTGAGGCACCCTCCCACAAGAAATGCACTTACATGCCACTTGTGCAGAAAAGGGCAGTTTATTCACTCCAGCTGGCCAGCGTCCGTCTCCCAAGGAGCAACCAAGGAAGAGCGGCCTTGGGCCTTGGTCTTGTAGGGTTTTTAAAGACAAAAACTACATCCTGTTGGCCCACGGGTTTGTCTAGGTGCACAAAGCAAGCTAGGGAGTTAGGTCACAGAGGCCGAGAAAGACCCATTCGAACAATCAAGCATATAAGTTTTCATTGTGTATGGTTCCTGTTCCCATGTAATAATTCACTGTGTATGGCTCCTGTTTCTATGCAG